GATGTCAAGAAAAGTGCAAGTGGAACAATTTGATGGTTCCCAAAAATGAAGGGTTGAGGCCTCCATAGCAAAATGAAGTAAATTTTGCTTCAGCTGGATGCTTCATGACCAAATGAATCGGCTCACATAGCTCTAAAACTCTTTAGTTTCTCTAGGTTTCCTGGATGTGGATTAAGACTAATCTTGGACTAACTAGTAATGTCAATGGTGATTCACCATTGAAAGCCTTTTTCGTCTAGGGTCAAACTAAATCTTAGTCTGGGAAATTGGCCCTATAAGGGACCTTTGTGTCTATTAAACTTTGCCACTTCATGCGTCTTGAGCTGAGTGCTATCTGAGGATGAACAAGCCAAGGTAAATGCAACCAAGGAACCCTGAACACGGATCACTCAGAGACTTCAAGAAGAATTTTTTTTTGTGACACATTACACTGCTGAATGAACTGTTTTTCTTTCTTTAAGCAATATGCACGAAAGTCTTGTCTAATTAGTGAATTTATTTACTCTAAGGTGCACCCATTGCTGACACACGGATTTAATTGTAAACACATAGCTTAGATGATCTCCACAGAAAAGCATTGACAATGGAGTGGGGGTTCTGGAGCAGCCACACATAAGCGAGGTCATCATGTCCAATGCCAAACATTAAAGGGGGCTAAAGGGGCATAAAGCTCCCCAGCATTGGGCTGCAAAGCAGGGGAACTGTGATGTCTGGAGTTATACACTACCATTCAGTAACTTTCAGATGAGTGTAAAGTCTTCCTAGAACAGTAGAAACTGTTATTGCTAAAGAAACATTAGACGAGGTTTCTACAAATGTTTGGACACATACTGTGTGTAATCTTTTCTCCTTCCATTCGAAACTGTTGTTACTGAACAAATCATTATTTAAACAGATCATGAATAACATAACATACATAGCTAGTAGTTACATACAGCAGCACTTTTGGCCTGTAAAAACTGGAGCTTTTAGTTCTTATAAAAGGCTTAGGACTGCACAACTGCATGGAACAGCATTTTTGTGGTGGCCAGAAACACCCTTGGATGTAATATGGGAGAAACAGCACTGATGAAAATCATATCTTTCTAGAAATGCTTTTACTGGTGACTTGGTGTAAATGGAATATAAATAAACCTTATCTAACATTATCCAGACATGAGACACAAGAAATAAAAAGTGCAAATAGGCTCTTTGCATAAATGTACCCATGTCCAGTTGATTGAAAATGGTTTGAAATGGGATAAAATCAAAAAAGTCAAAGGAGTTTACCTTCTTTTTATTAGGCCTCTTCACAGGGATTTTCATCACACTTGGTCCAGATACCATATGATCTCAGTGTCATATTCCTTCAAATGAAAAAGTTGTTTTCATGTGGCATTGATAGCCTTGACCAATCAATGAGAAATGTCCTGTTAATACAAACTTTGCAGTTTTTTCTGTATACTTTGAAGGAAGCCATTGAGTCAGTTACTATGGAGAGTACTACCAGGCAGTGGGAATTGGTATGCAGGAGAGACTGGCAAAGTCCCATCTGTCCAGTCAAAAAAACTCCTAATTTATGTTTCACGCTTCTTGCTACTGCCACACTCCACATCTTGTATCTCTCTCTCTCTCTCTCTCTCTCTCTCTCTCTCTCTCTCTTCAGTGGCACTGACAGTGAAGTAGCTTTGGCACTTAAAGAGCAATCCATCATCTATTTAGAACGCTTCATCAATATTGTGTATGTCATAGTGCTAACACTATGAGTGTGGCTGTTTTATGTTTGAAATCCTATTCTCACTGCCATATGCATGAGGTATATAAAAGCAGAGAATCCAGTTAAAAAGAATAATGCTCCGTTTAGGTGGTTTGGGTTATATGATTGCATTTATGAAACCCATGTATATTTGTGCTGAGATGCAAAACACAGTCCATTAATAAGGAATGTCTGAGAAATCTCTGGACTATTCCCAATTCAGCAGCAAACTGGAAAGAATCATGTCCCTCACATTGCATCAAGCTTCACATAGTATGAGTGCTGATCTAAGATCTGATTCCTGTCTTATTTTACAATGACCTTACTGACAGGAACAGATCCCAGAACAGCAATGTCATGTTTTACCTCCCTTTCCATCAACCCCCGCCTATCACTCAGAGACTCCCCTTAATACCTTGCTTCACTTGAAAATGCATCATGATTTGTGACTCACATTAACTTGATACTCTGTCGTTGTACTAGTGTACAATGAGCTAAAGCCACGGATCAAGACAATGGATCATTGTGCTATTATTTTCCAAAACTCTCAACATGGACACAGAAGTACATAGTAGTTCATAGGAAAACAATTCAAAACAATTTTCGTGCATTTACTCCAGAGCCCAGATAAGAATGGATCCCATAGTTGCAGTATTGTGGAGAATTTTTAAAAATGCCACAGATGCTCTGGGGAGAGTCTAAAGGCCACGTACAACCAAAGATGCCATTACTCACCAAATGAGGCCTTCCTGTGTGATCTTCGATTCACAACACAGATAGCTGATTCAATTAATGTTCCCTCCTTCCCTCTGCTCCATCGCAGTTTAAAAGCAATTCTACACAGAGCTCCCTCAATGTTCCATGAAATTGGGCCAGATTGCCGCGTCGTTTAATTAATGTGATCCTTGTTGCATTGAAATGGCTTCTCATGTAATTATTTGTCTTCTTCTCCTGATGGCAATTTCATGAGGTTTCATTTTAAAGCTTTAATAAACTTTCGTCAATGCCTAAGAAAGGTACGGTAATTAACGATTACTCTGTGCTTAATGCAAACACTCCCTTCAACTATTCCACACTAAACACTAAGATCCCTGCACATTCAGCTAAATACATAATTCTTTAAAATAGTGAACATGATCTTGTTATGAAAAAACTGAATAAGCAATAACAGTGGTTCCTCTAGCAGCTATATCACCTTTATCTTTATGGATGGGGCATATTTACAGGGATGTACCCTGTTCATCCCTTTTGGATTAATATCACCTAAACTGTCTATTATTGATATTTTAATTCCATCTAAATTTGACGTTTATCAATCAAGTTGCACACAAAACATGTCACAAGATCTTTGTATTATTATTTGGGGTGCAGATAATAACCCCAAACTGGTTCCAATATCATGGTATTAAAAGAAGTATGATTATTGCTCTCTAGCAATAGAATCACTAATTACAGTGTAAGATATATCTTAAAGGTTTTTTTTCTGTACTAAAAAGTAAGTATATAAGTAAATAAAAAAACATATCTGCAGTTAAAACTTGTTCTTTTAAAATTTGTTTTCACAATTCAATCTCTGCCTATATATACTATATTTATCCAGGCAAGACAGTAATGTCAAACTGAACACCCTGTTCTTCAGTGTCACAGAGATGTTGAAAGGAGAATCTTCTTCAGCATGTATGTTTGTTGTAGATGTTGCAAATGTTTCATCAGGAAATTATTTAAACGTTGCGTCTGTTATTGTCCTTTACCCATTTACTAATCAAGATTTTATAATGAGTTTCATTATAAAGCTGTTCAGCTAACCCTTTTTTTCTTTTTAAAGACTGGCAGAATGAGATTGTAACACTACAACTCCATCTGCTGGAGAGAGATGATAGCTGTTACATTAACAGGACTGAAGAATGAAGTGCATTCATATAGCTCCACAACATATCAGAGATGACACGATGCCACTTTTTTGTTTGCAATATTGATACTGATATTAAAACATTGAGTAACAATCCTTTTTTTTTTCTTAAAAACTTCTAAGCTGTAAAGTGAGCTATTTTAAATTAAAGCACTTTACTTAAAATGAGCATCTAGAAGTATGACACTCAAAACTAGAAATACACAGCAAATATTACTTCGCACAAAATGAATGCACACTACTTTGGGCTACATTTGTTACAGGATCGGGTCAGATTAATTCTAGTCTTCGCTCCTAGAATTCGATCCAGTATTTTTTGCTGATATTTGGATCAACGCCATCTTAACAGATCACAGCTAGACATAAAATATTACAGATTAGAAGACAGGTTCCATTTACTGATGAAAAGCATATTTAGCCAAAAAAAAAAAAACAAAACACCACTTAGTTTGCATGTTTGTACTTTCCCCAGCTCCAACTCCTATGGGAATTAAGGAGTCCTTCATTAGAGGGGGACTGTGATTGAAGCTCTCTACTGTGGACATATTTCTGGACACAAGATGGCAGCAAACGACTTCACATTTCACTCAAACTCTAATCTGATGTAGAACTGTCAGGTGAACATACATATTACATACTGTGTGATTAAAGGTTACTAAATTTTGTAACCAACACCAATCAAGTTCACGTCTAACCATAATCACACATTAGCCACCTAAGGGTTTTTAGATGAACTTGACAGGCTAGAACAGGGGCCTCACAAAATAGTTGTATGCACAGATTTGATCTTTAAGTTATCCTATGTGAAAATGCAAAACATCACTCTGAAGTGATTTATGACCGATGAATGTGACATGAAAACATGCAGATGAACACATTTCTAACCAGACACTGGAACAGCAGATCAGTTAATAGACCTCAGGGTAGAAATTTGTGAATGTCTTTATAAACCTGTACAAATGCTGAGAATTTAACTTTAGAATGAAATTCAAGTACAAAGATGCTTAACATGGTTTTGGGGTAAAGGTATAATAAGCAGAAAGGTACCATCAAGCTTTTCTAAAATATTAGGACTTCAATACATGACTTTATTAGTCATCATTATCCCACTAAACAAACTTTTTTTGCAGTAGTGTAGTTTATTCCCTTAAATTGTTTAAGAATTTGCTCAGAAATATAACAGTTAATCAAAAGCAATCAATACATCAAACCCAAATCATGCAGATGTCAATGAAGTGGGTTTCCAGTCGTCACACATGACCATGTTAGATGTATTATGTTGAGCTGTTTGTCAATTTTCTTCAAATTTTCAATCTTGAATTCATTCATTTAGATGAACCACACCATGAGTCTCAATGCTATCAATGCAGGTTCTTTAATAGAAAGTGTAGAAATCCAAAGAATTAACAGTCGATAGCTTTTGAATGCTAACAATAAATGGAACAGAAAAAAGGAAAAATGAACATGAAAATTTTGAGGTGGGAGGACCAATCTATGCCAGCTCCTCTTCTCCTTCTTCCTCAAACTCACCCTCTTCCTCTGCTGTGGCATCCTGGTACTGCTGGTACTCAGACACTAGGTCATTCATGTTGCTCTCTGCCTCTGTGAACTCCATCTCATCCATGCCCTCCCCAGTGTACCAGTGCAGGAAAGCCTTTCGCCTGAACATGGCAGTGAACTGCTCAGAGATACGCTTGAACAGCTCCTGGATGGCTGTGCTGTTGCCAATAAAGGTGGCGGCCATTTTAAGGCCACGAGGTGGGATGTCGCAGACAGCAGTTTTGACATTGTTGGGGATCCACTCCACAAAGTAGCTGCTGTTCTTGTTCTGAACATTGAGCATCTGCTCATCCACCTCCTTCATGGACATGCGGCCACGGAAAACGGCAGCAACAGTGAGGTAGCGGCCATGTCGTGGGTCGCAGGCAGCCATCATGTTCTTGGCATCAAACATCTGCTGAGTGAGCTCTGGGACGGTGAGGGCACGGTACTGCTGGCTCCCCCTGCTGGTTAGGGGTGCAAAGCCTGGCATGAAAAAGTGCAGTCGTGGGAAGGGCACCATGTTGACAGCCAGTTTTCGTAGATCAGCATTGAGCTGGCCGGGGAAACGCAGACAAGTGGTCACACCGCTCATGGTGGCGGAGACCAGATGGTTGAGATCTCCATAAGTGGGCGTGGTGAGCTTAAGTGTACGGAAACAAATGTCATACAGAGCCTCGTTGTCAATGCAGTACGTCTCGTCTGTGTTCTCCACCAGCTGGTGGACAGACAGAGTGGCATTGTAGGGCTCAACTACAGTGTCTGAGACTTTAGGGGACGGCACCACGCTGAAGGTGTTCATGATGCGGTCAGGATACTCTTCACGGATCTTGCTGATAAGGAGGGTTCCCATGCCGGACCCAGTGCCTCCACCCAGGGAGTGAGTGAGCTGGAAACCCTGGAGGCAGTCACAGCTTTCAGCCTCCTTGCGCACCACATCCAGCACCGAGTCCACCAGCTCAGCACCTTCTGTGTAATGGCCCTTGGCCCAATTGTTTCCAGCCCCACTCTGACCTGGGGTGAGAAGCTTAACAGTTAGGCTAGGCTGTTGTACCTTCGTCACTAAGCAACTAAGCTTACTGTTAAAAATATAACTCAAATACTAGCTCTTTACTGAATTAGACATTGAATTCAAGCAAGATGCATAAAATAAGCTGAAAAAAAATAAATAAAAGCAGCACATGCCAATTAAAACACCCACCAAAGACAAAGTTGTCTGGTCTGAACACTTGCCCAAAAGGACCGGATCTTACGGAGTCCATTGTTCCAGGCTCCAGGTCCACGAGCACAGCCCTGGGGACGTATTTTCCACCTGTTGCGCAGCAGTTCACAAAGGTTAGTGGTTTGAGACATGGAATTAAAAAAAAATATCCAGTTTGATAAAAGGTGATTACATCTTTACAAAAAAGCCAGATTTACCAGAAGCTTCGTTGTAGTACACGTTAATTCGTTCCAACTGCAGGTCGCTGTCACCGTGGTAGGCGCCGGTGGGGTCGATTCCATGTTCATCACTAATCACCTCCCAAAACTATAAGATCATTGAAGCATGTTAGCTAGATAGCGAACATTCGATACAGACTTAATCCAAAAAACATAAAAATTAAAACCCACACACACCTCAACATTTCATTAAACCAAGGCGAAAATATACTTTAACTGTTACGTCTTAATCAGCCCAGTCAGCTTCAGCAGCGGGAGTAAGTTAACTGTTAACGTCAGTTAGCTAACACTGGTAACGTACACGAAGCAAACTAGAAACTGTCCGTTAGACATTTCAGCTGCAGGTTGAGCCTTTTTGTAATAATTAGGGCATCCAAGTAGTTGTGTAGTACTTCGACTGGAACAACGTAAATTAAGCACGTAAAGCAGTGCTTGGCACTTAACATTAGCTCAGACACCTAGCATAGATTTTTTTTTTTTTTAAATACAGATAACTAGCCGCGCTGCTAACATGCCTTCTTTAAGTTAGTTGCCCAAGTGACCAAAAGTTTTTACAGTTCAAAAAACGAACCTTAGTTGTGATGTACGAGTGTTTCAAACTTACTTTGGCACCAATTTGGTTCCCACACTGACCAGCTTGCAGGTGAACAATCTCCCTCATTGTGAATCGTTTACTAAACAGAAAAAAAGCTCAGTTGGTTCAAAACTGTGTCCAACGTCTGTGTCCCGTTGCCGCCAGCAAACCTCTAACGACTGACAGCGCTTACGCATATTTATAAACGACGCAACCACCATTGTCAAACACGATTGGCTAGTTTAAACGTCGATCATTATTTCACTGATTTTCATTGGTGCACCGACACAACCGTGAGGGTGTCAGGGATTATGATTGGTTACCAGCGAATGTATTCGGTTACCAATGGTTACGACTTGGCGATGCCTTAGAGACCCTTTTGTATTCTGGTAACTAGATACGCTCATTCAGTAAACCGGCATTTATCCCTGGTTAAAAAGGGTTTAGCATGTTTGGACTTGTTCGCTCGATTGTAATAGTTTTTTAAATAAACGGATACAATATAGATATGTATCACTGAAAGCATCAACCCACATATTTACCCTCCTCACCCATTTTGAAACGTACATATAGGCCTACGGTCTCAAGGCCATAGCAAAAAACGATTTAATTATTTTGGGATGCATTTTGAAAATTGTAAATAAAGAAATAATTTATTTGTTTTAGGCTGAAATCTTTAGTGTCTCCATGTAGGCCAGAAAATCGTGAAATAACCTTAAAAAGAGTAATGTTATCAATATCCATACTTTAAAACATTGGCCGGTTCTGATATAATATCAGTATATTGAAATTCACATCCACTAAGTTGTAGTTACTGTTAGCCTTGATATCATCTTAATTACAAGTGGAAATCAACATCTAGAATTTGATATCTTCTCTGAAGGTGGTATCAAATGTTTCTGTAATCTTATACCCAGATTTTACACCGCATGTCTGCATATCGAAAACTGAAGAATGAAACATTGGACGTATCAAAGTATAGTGCAAATATAGTGATGACGTGTGGTTCTCTATGGCAGCTTTTTCCCTTAGACTGGATGGTACACAAATACATTTCACATCCAAAAAGAATACGTTTAAAACTAAATCTTTGCTTATGAATTTGCCAACTGATACAATAAAGTATAGATTGATTATAACGCTACAGGTTCATAGGCATAGTTAACTGTTATATGTGTATGTGCTGTTGTCGTACCCCAAACTGAATTAATTATGTTTTTACTAAAATAAAGGAACATTTTTTCTTATATTGATTGCCCAGAGTTCTGAATGTACCCACTCATGCTGTATTTTTGGAGTTGTTCTGCACTGTAGATCATCACTGGAATGAATCCCGCTTGAGGACTTGCTTGTGAAGGCATGCACTTGGTATTTTCTATGTAACATCAAGCTGTTTCTGGTTCTGCAGTGCAGAATGAACTTTTTGTTTCACACAGTGTATCTCATATCTTAAACTTGTCCTGTTTGTAAGCCCCAACTCAAAGAAATTCAGTGGCTCTCTGGTACTATATTTATAGAACTATTGCATTCCTAGCAGCAATATATGAGAACTGATACATGATGAATGCACACCTGCTGAATGTCTTTCATTTAAAATAGTTTTAAATTTTTTTACCTGCAAATACATTTTTTCCAATCTATTATTAACAGACGGTTTTATCAACTGTTATCAATGATTGTAACTAAAATATTTAAGATAAATACAATTATACAACTGTTAGTTCCAACCACAGAACCCAGCTTTCTACCCGTTATTTTATTGCAACGTTTTTTCACCATAGCCGCATCATTCTGCTGACCACTGGTTCTAACGAAATACCAGTGGCCACAACATGCACTTCAGGTGGAACTAGTTTTCAGGCACAAGAAATTGCCAATAATAAAACATATTTGAAACAATGTTTGATATTAATATGTTTAATATGTATTTTATTAGGTACACCTCGTGTGTATCCACTGTCCATTTTATCAGGTCCAATTACAGGCTGTAGTGTGTTTCTCTACATAATTTGTTAGCCCTCCTTTACTCTGTTCATCAGTGGTCACCCCAGAACCACCAAAAAAGCAGATATTATTTGAGTGGTAGATCATTCTCAGCACAACAGTGACACTGACCTGGTAGTGGCATGTTATTGTGTTGTGTTTCTTTAGTTTCTGGAGTGCCAACCAAACATATCCATCCAAAAGTGTCAAGTGGCCAAAAACTAATAGTGCAGGATTCACTCGTACCAGCGTAACACACACTAACATATTACTACCACATCAGTAGCCTTGCAGTGCTGAGAATGATGCGCCACCTACATAATACCTGCTCTTTGGTGGTCCTGTAGGGAATCCTGACCATTGATGAATGGTAAAAGAGTGGTAAAATAGATCAAACAAATTATACAGAGAAACAGATGGACTGCTTTCTGTAATTCAAGAACTACAAAATGCAGGTCCTGTCCTGACAAAATGGGCAATGAGTGTAAATACAAGGTAGGTGCACCTAATAAAGTGTCCAGTGAGTGTATTTTATAGTTAACATAGTGTATTTAATATCAATATCTTATGTATATGGATTATATACAACATTCTTATACTTGGTTTGAAAGGCACTTCCACAAAATGTAACCCTTTCATATCACCTCAGCGAGTGAGTGTGTATGTGCAGGAGCATCAGGTATTCTATGTGTCCCAGGTGTCCACAACATTAGTGTGTGGCGAGGTACCGATTCATTATTCATATATGATGACAAGTCACCTAAAGCAAGGCCTGATGGGTTGCTGGGTTCATTCGTGCCTGGACACATAGGCAGATGTGAGCTGAGCTAGCACAAAACAGAATAACATTAAGGACCATAGGATAACATCATTTAACACAGCAGGGGGTTTTAATGCTATTAAAAGCATCACACCACATAGACCATTGAAATGTAAGGAACAATGACCTCACCTTTAAGAAAAATATCCATTCACAATAAAATGAAACTATTGTATATTAGCACAAGTTGACCAGGGAGGGTTATAACAGGGAATAAAGTGGGAATAAATGCAGATGCATTCATTTCCTTATTATTTAAGTATTACTTTATTTAAGTGAAAGTATTGTAATGAAGGTAGCTTTAGATTGTTAGCATTCATTGGCTGAGCACCACTCACATTAAACATGGCATGCTAATGTGGAGAAGTTCTGTCAAGTCAGTACCTTGAATTTCTTAGTGTCCAGTGCCTGCTCTCAATGAAACTAACTGATGCTAATATATTTTGAGTTACTTGAGTATGAGTCATCTTAAAGGAAAGAAAATACCAAAGAAAAAAAAAATAATATATATATATATATATATATATATATATATATATATATATATATGAGATGAGACCAAGACAAGTTTGAGTACAAATAGTATCGTGGCACTAAATCATTTACTTTTCTATACTGGAAAGTCTCCATAGGGACTGAATACATAAGACCAGAAATGGCAAATAGCACAACAAGGACTTAAACCTAGCCCCTAACTCTCCAATGTGGAGCAGTACTTTGACCAACTGTACCTTCAGTGATACTGTTCTAGCTACTTGTTATTGGAACAAAAATGCCTCAAACTAGTCTGTTTGGACTAAACATTAACTGCCATTATGCAAGTCTAGCAATGAGAGTCTCTGAGCTAGGCCACTGGTGTGTTAATATTCGGAAATTCCTTTTCGTATATTCGTGGAAATTCTGTTAGGAATACAAAGTCAAGACCTGAGAGTCAGTGTAGGTGTATGTGTGCATGGAGACAGCAGCTGCAAAACTGTTGCTTAGCGAATGTTCAATTATTAATGTAGAGCAGGGTATTGGCTTACACAGGCCTATACACCCATCCCCCTACACACACCTTTCCGGGAACCTAATGAAACATGCCTAACCCAAATTTTGAGTAAGTAAAATAGGGGAAATGAATGATAAATACATTGCTAAATATAACCCAGCTCATCACTGCAACAGAGCATCAAGGCACATGTGCTCATTAGTAGGAACTGTGTCCATTTAGGACACAATTGTGTTGCTTATTATTCATTCACAGAAGTAATGGATAGCAGATGATACTGTGGTGACTGAGCTATGTGCTGTGTGTGCATTTGCATAACCATAAGCCTTTGTGTAGCCTCCATACTGCATTAAAACTGTGCGTCTTGCTGTAATTAGCCTGTTTTGCGCTGCTTTTTTGTGCTACAGTCAAGCATGTGTGTCACAGAAGCTGGCAAGTGAGCCTGGCTATGAATTGTTTACTTCACTGTTCTCATGAAATGCATGTCAGCTCATTACCCTTGTTTAGCTTGCAGGGAAGTCTTCTAACTAGCCACTCAATGTTAAAGCTACATGCTATAGTGTGTGCAGCTGCTATATAAGAGCATTTCTGTTCCAAAATGCTTCCATCCAGCCTGTTCCTTGATGCCATAATGATATGTTTTAATCGTTAGCTTTAATGTGTTTTATTATACTGAAAACTTGTATGTAGAGTTGAGTAGAGTCTGACACACTGAATTATCATTAGTGCTATGTGCTGCATATTGAGCCAAAGTACAAAAATTTGCATTATTTTTGTGGTCATAATAATTCATTATTCTGGTTCTTTGCTGAGAAAAGAAATGTATGAATCCATGCTGAAAAAAATAGCACAGCCCATCATGTATTCCTTCCTGGTCTAAGTCGGTTTATGCTGGCCTAGTGCTGGTCTGGTGCTAGTTTAGCTGGTCACCCAGAATGGTCATGTTGGTTGACCTACATACCAGCATCCAAAACACAGCACATGTTAGTTTAATTTATATTGCTGCTGACCAGCATGGCAGGCAAAACCAAAATGCTGCTATGCTGGTCAGCAGCAATATAAATTAAACTAACATGTGCTGTGTTTTGAATGCTGGTATGTAGGTCAACCAAGATGACCATTCTGGGTGACCAGCGGTCTGGGTGGTCTATGCTGGCTTTTCTAAGAAGCTGCAGGATACAGCTAGCTAACATTTAACATTACATAGATAAAAGCAGTGCTGCATGTTTCTGGATGGACAGTAACCAAAAGTTAGACCTCAGAAATTAAATCGGTTATACATTTACTTTAAAAGTGGGCTGATAACTTGCAGCAGAAAGAGAGAGCATCTGCTACAAGACAAGTTTACCCACACACATCTTCAAGATAGCTAGCA